CTGCGACCTTGTCCCTGAATTTGCCACCTGAGGCGTGAACGCGCGACGGGCTATCGGCGCAAAAGGGCCAGGGGTATCTACCCTTCGACAATTAGTGCTTCTTGTCATCTCACCCCTCCGTCGAAGTTACAGTCTTTCGTTCAATCCGTTCATCAGTGTTCGCTGCGCGTTCCTCGATCTCTGTCGCATTTTCACTTGCTTTTCCTTTCACCAATTCATCATAATGGCGCCCCGGCGATCAACCCGCAAGTCGACTGGTGTCGCGAATGACGTCGCCACCGCACCTTCCCCAGCGCCGACAACTGGTATGTACAGGCTGACTTTGACCTTCACTTTGGCTTAGCAAGTGAATGCTGTGCATCATTCTTGCGCTAATGCGATTACAGCCCTGGTAGAATCCTCCCTGGCTGATAGTCGCCACAAACAGACGCGCCCTCGTACCTCTCGATCTTTCATCCCCGACTCTTCCGATCACGAGAGCGAAACCATCGAGCCCGAGGTGCCTCAATCATCCGCCAGCGCCCGCCGCGTGTTGAAAGAAGTTAGAGTCCCCGCCATGAAGTCCAAGAAGGCGCCCGCCACTCGCGGACGGCTAGCAGGGCTCAACGCGCAACAAGCAGGACAAGAGAGTTCGACCGCCTCACCCTCCCTGGAGAACTCAGACTACGAAACACAAGGAACCAGCATCTCGACTACGCCAGCTGCGTCAGTCAGTCGTGGCAAGAAGCCCGCCCGTAGTCGGCTGAACAACGCTACGACGCCTTCGCAGAGCACCTCATCCAAACGATCTCGCACCGCCGTGTCAGACTCCGAATCTGACTCCGAAAACTGGACGCTCGACATGGACGCTGAGATCGCTGCACAAATGCAGTTGGAGGACGATGAGGATGCGCCACACAGCAAGCGCCAGAAGATCAAGGACGAGGACGATGAGGACATGCTATCCGAGGATGAGCCCATCGCGCCTTCGCGTCGCAAGAAGGCGCCCTCATACATGGGCAAGGGCAAGGGCAAAGCCAAGGTCGAGGAGGTCTTCAGCGATGACGACGCAGATTCAATGACAGCTGTTCTGTCGTCAGCACCATCTTACAAAGGCAAGGGCAAAGGCAAGGCCAAGGCTCAGTCTTCAGCAAAGCGTGGTCGTCCTGCACGCTCTAGTGCGAAGAAGGCAACGTTCAAGGAAGAGGACTTTCTCGATGACGAGGAGTCTGACGGCGGCGAGTTTCGTCCTGATGATGTGGATGACGCCGAGTCTTTGCTTAACGATGTCGAGACACCAATGGCTAGCGACAGCGATGAAGAGCCTTTGATGACGACAAGTGACCGTCTGAAGAAGATTGCTGCGGCGCGCCAACCGAAAGCATCTGGAGGCCGGAAGAAGAAGCTCACCCGCGGCGACAAAGACGAAGCGACTGATCGTCGGGCGAGGTATGCGCACATCGCGGACAAGTGGGAGCGGAAGCGGGCCATGAACCGTGAACGAGCCGAGCAACAGCATCCAAAGCTGAAGACTATGTGGAAGACTCTGGAGGACATCCCCGTTCTGGAGGTTCAGCAGGCAGAGCAACCAGAGTCTATTACCCGACGATTGAAGCCATTTCAACTTGAGGGTCTTAGCTGGATGATTCGGCAGGAGAAAACTCACTACAAGGGTGGGCTGCTCGGAGATGAGATGGGTATGGGCAAGACTATCCAGGCCGTCTCTCTGATCATGTCCGATTACCCTGCAAAGCAGCCGACGCTCGTATGTGTCCCGCCAGTTGCTCTGATGCAATGGTCCAACGAGATCCGCGAGTACACAAACAACAAGCTCAAGGTTCTGGTATACCACGGCACGAACGCCAAGTGCAAGAAGATGTCGATCAAGGAGCTCAAGTCCTACGACGTAATCATGGTTTCGTACAACTCTCTGGAATCGCTGCATCGCAAGGAAACCAAAGGATGGTCCCGCGGTGAGGATATCGTCAAGGAGGCATCACCACTCCACGCCATCCACTATCACCGCCTTATCCTGGACGAAGCGCATAGTATCAAGTCTCGCAACACCGGTGTAGCTAAGGCTTGCTTTGCGCTGACTGGTGACTACAAGTGGTGCTTGTCTGGCACGCCAGTCCAGAATCGCATCGGAGAGTTCTTCTCACTTCTTCGCTTCCTGGAAGTTCGTCCATTTGCGGACTACTTCTGCCGTTCATGCAAGTGCGAGAAGCTGCATTGGGCCACCGACGATGACCACATGTGTGTTGCCTGCAACCACGGTGCTTCTGAGCACATCTCAGTGTTCAACCAGGAGCTGCTCAACCCAATCACTGGCGATGACCATAAGCTCCGCGAGGAGGCCTTGACAAAGCTTCACTTGATCACTGCTCGCATCATGTTACGACGTATGAAGCGCGATCATACCAACTCCATGGAGTTGCCGATGAAGGACATCATCATCCACCAAGAGTTCTTCAGTGAGGTGGAGCGCGACTTCTCAACCTCGATCATGTCGAACTCCGCCCGCAAATTCGATACTTACGTTGCGCAGGGTGTCATGCTCAACAACTACGCCAACATCTTCGGTCTTATCATGCAAATGCGACAGGTCGCCAACCATCCCGATCTTTTGCTAAAGAAGAACGCGGCGGAAGGTGCTGGCAATGTCTACGTGTGCAATATCTGCGATGAGCCCGCCGAGGACGCAGTACGTTCTCACTGCCGTCACGAGTTCTGTCGCGCTTGCATCAAGGACTTCATGGAGACCTGCGAAGCCTCTGGCACGGACGCAGATTGCCCTCGCTGCCACATCGCCCTGTCTATCGACTTTGAACAGCCAGAGCTTGAGCAAGACGAGGACTCTGTCAAGAAGACGTCGATCATCAACCGCATTAAGATGGAGAACTGGACTTCTTCCACCAAAATTGAGATGTTGGTATACGACCTCTACAAGCTTCGGAGCAAGAAGCAGACACTCAAGTCCATCGTCTTCAGTCAGTTCACGTCGATGTTGCAGCTCATCGAGTGGCGTCTGCGTCGTGCCGGTTTCAACACTGTCATGTTAGATGGCAGCATGACTCCTGCACAGCGCCAGAAGAGCATCGATCACTTCATGACCAACCCGGATGTTGAGGTCTTCCTCGTCTCCCTCAAGGCTGGTGGCGTCGCTCTCAACCTTACTGAAGCATCCAGGGTATTCATCGTCGACCCGTAAGTATTAATCTTTGCCATATCTTTCCACAGAACGCTAATAAGACGCAGGTGGTGGAACCCAGCAGCGGAGTGGCAGTCTGCCGATCGATGCCATCGTATCGGTCAACGTCGTCCTTGTGTGATCACTCGCCTCTGTATCGAGGACAGTGTAGAGTCGCGTATGGTCGCGTTGCAAGAAAAGAAGGCCGCTATGATTGCTGGTACCGTGAACAACGACAAGGTCGCCATGGACCGCCTCAGCCCTGAGGATTTGCAGTTCCTTTTCCGTGGTACCTAGTCGCAGAAGCAGTTTCACGTCTTCACAGGAGTATAGATGACAGGGATTTCGGGTTGTCGCATTATCCATGAGGCGTTTGTCGGTCAGCGACGCATGGGATCGATCGATCTACGGTAGACACCTTTTTTTGTTTTACCACAGGCGTTACAGACGTGGAGCGCAGTTCAACGATCGGAACGATGCATAGCGCCTCGGTACCTTTCGATACCTTTTCAAGTAGAGTTATACCCGTTTACATCACTGTATAGTACGCTGTCTAGTGAATGCATTTTACTACATGTGAACTTCAGAGCTTCTGAATTTACCGCCTTCTCTTAGTCGTGTGTGCTGTCCATACGCTCAAGTGAGATCCATGTAGGCTGCCGTCTAGCGTAGTAATGGCAGGGATGCTACAGCTCGTCCAACTGCCACGGGGTCTTGCAGGTACGGTAAGGAGTGCAATCTCATACACAGCGATAGCTCGCGCAGCTCGATGGATATGGCAGGTGTGCAACGCTTTACCTTTTATTGTCAATTTTGGGTAGAAAGCTGCGGGTAAGGTTTACCCTTTGACACCCATCCCATCGCTCCTGCGACGATTTAGCTACCTACAATAAACTTCCTTCACCCAAAAACATCTCAGTACCCTATTTCCAATACACAGAATCGCATCCGCGGAACCGAGGAGATGTTCACAAAGCCATGTTGCAGCGGTATTTGTGGTACGTAATTTTACGTAAAGCCCAACTTGCTGCGCGTGGACCTTTACTCAGATCGTCGCGCATGTGCAAGGTCAACGTCAGAGTAAATGGGCGTATTTGCGCATTCGAATGGTGCAGGAGCGGACAAAGTACCGTTGTTTGACAGCTGGACCCGGGAATAAATTGCGCGATGAGGGACTTTGGTTGCACGTTCGTGCTTTTGACGGTCCGCTCCCGGAGCCATTGAACTTTAATCTCTTTGAGCTGTTGATCTGCTTTCTGTTTTACTTATCCATTCGCATGGAAAGGTTTTGTTTGTTTTGTGTTTACATTGGTCAGTATGAGTGTGTTCTCTGCAGCCAGGGAATGGGACCTTGATATCGATCGCTACCTCAATCGCATCATTCCTCCTTCACCGCTGCACAAGCTTCCGACGCCGGTGTCGAGGTTCCTTGGGTATAGAAGGGAGACGCGTCAAGATGTTGGGAACATACTTGGAGCGTTCTGGTCGTTGTTGGGCGCGTTCTGCGGTCTGGCGGTCGTAGCGGCAGTCTTCAATAATACGGACAGCATACAATGGCATCAGCCGCCAGCGTTGATCGCCTCATTCGTATGTTACTTGTTGCTGTTACGAGTGTGATCTGTTGTGCTGACTGGTGATACAGGGTGCCTCTGCGATTCTTGAGTACAACTCTATACGCTCGCCACTCGGTCAACCGCGCAATGCCCTCCTCGGCCATGGAATCTCTGCACTCATCGGCGTGGGCATATCGAAGTTGTTCCAATATCACTCGGAATACGATTCGATACGATGGATCGCAGGCGCTATAGCATGCGGTTGCGCGTCTGCCGTCATGCTCTTGACCAATACTGTGCATCCGCCGGGCGGCGCATCCGCGGTGCTTGCAGCAACAGACCCCGTCATCACAGCCATGGGCTGGTACTTCGTCGGCCTCGTTCTGTGGGGCACTACTCTTATGATTGCAGTTGGGCTGGTCATCAACAACATTCAAAGGCAGTTTCCGATATACTGGTGGACCCCTTTGGATCTGCAGAAAGTGAAGATTGGGGATGAAGAGGTGGTGCCAGATGCGACGGGCGGTTTAGAACGAAAGAAGAGTGCAAAGGAGCAACACTATGACTGCGAGAGGCACAAAATTGAGATCAACGGCGCCAGGATTACGTTGCCAGACGATTTGAATTTGAACGCGGAAGAGACGAGAGTACTGGAAAAGTTACGAGGAAGATTACGAGAGAGGGTCGACCAGGAGGCAAAAACAGTAGATTCAGAAAAGGAAGAAGCGGATAGCGAAAGGAGCAGTGCTGAGTTCACTATGGTGCCGAGCAACAGCGGGAGCAGTCACGGTATATAGACGGCGCTTATCGCTGTTGAGGCTGGTGAAGATAAGAACTATGACGATCATCGCTCTCTCGTGGGGTATCCACAATGCTCAACAACCACACAGGTGATGCCTAATACTAACGATATTCTTAATCGTTCAGTGACTTTGATTGAAAACTGAGTTTGAGCAGCACATGTTCACCGCATACTTGAATGACGTAGAAAGATGCGCATGGCGTACTTTTCCGTTGAGGGGCACATGGCGGGACTTGTGAAGACTTAGAAAGCATATTCGTACAGACTACATGCCCGAACAGTCTTTGCTTCGCCCAGATCTGGAACCAGCTACCTGTCTGGTGACATACTATCCTAACGAAAGATGCATGTAGCGGTGTCAGCCTCGAGCGTTGAGCGCCTTACTTGCCCTATGATGATGGTGGGGGAGCGCTCATTGGCCGTGCGCAGCCTTCGCCACAAGTAAGAAAATTGATTCACAGGGTCGCATTGTTTGACCAGCCCTGGCCGTTTCTTACTCTCAAATCCTCTCTTTCTACATCACTTCCAGCGCTTTATCACTCCACTCGTTTTCACATCCGAGTGTCGCGCTTTGAACAGGACGCGAAACTGAAACCTTTGGGTATCGACAACTATCGATAAGAGACTTAGCGGGGCACAGATTGACGTTGATCCCAACCCTACGAAATTTCCTCCTCCCTCCACCACCCCAGAGTCTTCACCCATAAACCACTAAGATACCATGGTCTCCGCCTCAAAAGCTGCCCGCCAGGCGAAGCGCGCCGCCGACGGCGATGCGAAGCCCAAGAAGACGGCCACCTCCAAGCTGTCTTCCAAGGCCAACTCCAAGAATGCCTCCAAGGCCAACTCTGAGAACGGCGACGAGGCCGAGGACCTCGAGCTGAACGAGGAGGTCAAGAAGCTGACCATGCAGGAGGACAAGCACGGTCTGTCCGACCGCGTCACCACCGGTGTGCTCGCCTCGCTCGAGCAGTCGCGCGATGTCAAGATCATCTCTGCATCGCTCGTGTTCCACGGAAAGGTCCTCTTCAACGACTCCACTCTCGAGATCAACTACGGCCGCCGATACGGTCTGTTGGGTGAGAACGGTTGCGGAAAGACGACCCTGCTCAAGGCCATCGACAAGCGCGAGTTCCCCTTCCCAGAGCACATCGACATCTACCTGTTGAACATGGGTGCCCCCAAGACTGAGCTGGGTGCCCTGGAGTGGGTTGTGCGCGAGGCTGAGAACGAGCTGGCCCGTCTCGAGAAGCTGGCTGAGGACATCCTTGAGAAGGACGGCCCCGAGAGCCCCCTCCTTGACGACATCTACGAGGTATGTACACGCCACATCAAAGTGCGGCACGCCACTAACACTATGCCAGCGTCAAGAAGACATGGACCCGTCCACCTTCCACACCCGCGCATCCCTCATTCTTACCGGTCTCGGTTTCAACAAGGTCACCATCAACAAGAAGACAAAGGACATGTCCGGTGGATGGCGTATGCGTGTTGCGCTCGCCAAGGCGCTGTTCGTCAAGCCCGCCCTGCTGCTGCTCGACGACCCCACTGCCCATTTGGACTTGGAGGCCTGTGTGTGGCTCGAGGAGTACATGAAGAAGTGGGAGCGCACCCTGGTTCTCGTGTCCCACTCCATGGACTTCTTGAACGGTGTCTGCACAAACATGATCGACATGCGTCAGAAGAAGCTCCTCTACTACGGAGGTAACTACGACACATACCACAAGACTCGTACCGAGCAGGAGGTCAACCAGACCAAGGCCTACGAGAAGCAGCAAGACGAGATCAAGCACATCAAGAAGTTCATTGCTTCCGCCGGTACTTACGCCAACTTGGTCAGGCAAGCCAAGTCTCGCCAGAAGATTCTGGACAAGATGGAGGCCGATGGTCTGATCGAGCCCGTTGCCGTCGACCGTGTCTTCACTTTCCGTTTCGCCGACGTCGAGAAGCTGCCCCCACCTGTGCTGTCGCTTGACGACGTTACCTTCTCTTACTCTGGAGATGCAAAGGACAACCTGTACGAGAACCTGGACTTCGGTGTCGACATGGACTCTCGAACAGCTCTTGTCGGACCCAACGGTGTTGGAAAGTCCACCCTTCTCAACATCTTCACCGGAAAGCTCAGCCCCACATCCGGTGTTGTGTCGCGCCACACTCACTTGAAGCTCGGTGTGTACAGCCAGCACTCTGCTGAACAGCTTGACCTCACCAAGTCTGCCCTTGACTTCGTCCGTGATAAGTTCCACCACATCAGCCAAGATCTCCAATACTGGCGCCAACAGCTTGGTCGCTACGGTATGACTGGTGAGGCACAGACATCGAAGATGGCGACTCTGTCCGATGGTCAGAAGTCCCGTATCGTCTTCGCTCTGCTCGCTATTGAGGGACCCAACATGTTGTTGCTTGACGAGCCTACCAACGGTCTGGATATCCCCACTATTGACAGTTTGGCGGATGCCATCAACGCCTTCAGCGGTGGTGTCGTTGTTGTTTCCCACGACTTCCGGTATGTTCAATCTTACTCTCCTACTTGATCAGCCTGCTAACAATGGATAGATTGCTTGACAAGATCGCGAAGGACATTATGGTGTGCGAGCACAAGACCGTCCGCAGGTGGGACGGAACCATTGGCGAGTACAAGGACCATCTCCGCAAGAAGATGGCGTCGACTGGTGCTCTCTAAGCGGATTTTGGGGATAGTTTCGCAAGTTGCATGCGTCCTTCGAGCTGTGGAACGCAGGTACAACAAAAGTAATGGCCTTAGAGCAGGTTTCAGGATACCTCTGCAGTAGGCCGGCAGCTCATCGCTTCCTGCGTCAGTGTCGTTCTGCATGGGTAGAGGCATCTGGATTATGCGTTATGATGCATTGGGTCTTAGAGGAGTTTTAGAGTTGCCTTACGATCAGAATGATATCACATAGAAGCATGTATTGTTGTTTCCATCATCTAGGGTGCTGCTTGCGTTGCTAAGGGTCGTCCGAGTGTTTGTGATGATGTATTTGTGTCTGTATGTACATGATACTTCCGATGGACGGAGGACGTTTGACATGCGTGTAATCGAGAAGAAGGATGTGCAGACAGTTGTTTTGAGACTTCGTAGAACGGATATGTGGCTATCGGTAGGTACATGTTCGGCACGTGCCTATTGGTGAGCTATGAGCTGTGACGAGCAAGCACCCCCGCAAGCTTCCACCGCGATAGTGGAGCTCAAGCATCTACACCAAGCCTCCCATCTTTCCACTCTCATACCATTACTCTTCGACACCTTCGCTCCCGCTGTATTCATCTGAAATCGCGACAAACCGGGACACAGCTACTCTTACACGAAGCTTTGCCTTCCTTCCACTCGCTCTCTGCCCGCCATGGCGGAGCTCACAAGCACGAAGCTCAATGCGGAGTCGCATCTCCTCCTCGTAAAGCATTTCCAGCTACTCAGGTATATCGTATTACCTGCTAACACGATCACAGGACCAACCACTCCTGCGCATGCCCTACGAGCTCTCGCGGCGCAACTTCAAAAACGCCCAGCGCGTCATCGAACACTCGTCCAGCGCACTCACCACATCCCTGACCGCCGCCACCAAAGCCGCCTCCAAGAACGCCTCACCAGAAGCCACACTCGACTCTCTCGATACCATGATAAGCAAGATGCACAACCTCAAGCGCAAACTAGAAACCCTCCACGAAGAAGAAGCGCGCATCCACCGCTCCACAAAAGCGCGCCTACAACACCTGCAAGACCTGTACGAAATGCAAAGTCTCGTCGACGTCAAATACGATGAATGGTCACGCACGCGGTTAAGCCGGTTACTCGTGGATTACCTGCTAAGAGAGGGGTATGCAGAGAGCGCAGCGTGTCTGGCGAAGAGCAAAGGAATCACCGAGCTCGTGGATGTGGATGCATTCGTTGCGTGTCACAAGATTGAGACGAGTTTACGGGAAGGCATGAGTACAACGTTGGCGCTTGAGTGGTGCAAGGAACATGGCAAAGAACTCAAGAAGGGGGGTAGCCTGCTCGAATTCGAGCTCAGGCTGCAGCAGTATATTGAGTTGGTGAGACAGGGACACGAGGCCGGGTTGAGCGGTATGGATGGGCTGGAGACACAAGATGATGGTATGCATGGAGTCAGCATAGGGGGCGGAGGTGGAGAAACGAAGTTGATGGAGGCGAGGGCACATGCTAAGAAGTATTTGAGTACGAGTGGGGATTTCGAATTGATGAGGAGGGCGGCGGGCATGTTGGCGTATAGGCCGTGGGATGAGGTGGAGCCGTATGCTGTGAGTCTCCCCAGACCGCTGATGGTCCCTATCTCTAACATTCCTTCTAGTCTTTCTACTCGGCATCACGGTGGTCGCATCTAGCCGATTGCTTCGTCGCGACTCATCACACCCTGTACGCCCTGCCCCCGCGGCCGCTCCTCCACGTCGCCTTGAGCGCCGGTCTCTCCGCGCTCAAGACACCCGCCTGCCATTCCGCCTACACACCTTCCTCCACAAACGCCGCTTCCTCTACCACAACCGTATGCCCAATCTGCAGTACCGAGCTCAACGAGCTGGCGCGCAACGTTCCCTACGCCCTCCACACTAAGAGTATCGTTGAAGACAGTCCCGTAGTACTGCCTAACCATCGCATCTACGGCTCCGAGAGACTGCGCGTCTTCAACGAGAAGGTTGGCACGGAAGAGGGGTTCGTGAGGGATCCGGCGGAAGGACTGGGCGGCAAGCAGTGGCCTGAGAGCGAGGTCCGGAAGGTTTATGTTATGTGATGTTTTGTCTGTCTTTCTTTCTTCTAGCGGCATTTGTATGATAGTCCGGTATAGCGTGGTGTTTTGGTATGGGAATCTGCTCGGCGCGGTATGGGTCGGCGTACCTGACTCTTTCATGTGTAGATAGGAAGGACCTCAAGGCCTTGGGTATTGTTCCTAAGCTCAATGACCACTTTACGCTTCGCCCGCAAGTATGCACTTGTTCCGTATCGGAGGTATTGCTTAACCG